ATACCCTGGAAGCCTCTTTCTGTGATTATTCATTCATTCATGAAGCACTTATGGAAACACTATATTACACCAGGCACTCAGATGGATTTTCATAGTACATTAGGAAGAGATACCTTTTCAATGGAAGAGACAAAACATGAGCTTTGACTATGAGAGGTAGGAAGAATTATATACAAAGGTAATCCAGTTACAATGGAATGTACTCAGCACAGTTAGGATATAACGTCAGGCAAATTTTCACAGTGGCAAAGAGGCATAAGTTTTGTTTTTTTGGATGCCGTTGCTTACTGTAATCAACTATGTCTGTTAACTTCTGTGAAAAACCATTTCTTGAGAGTAGGCATTCAGCATAGTGATTAACATGCCCATGTCACGTGTCAGAATCTTGCTAATATTTATGAAAGGGGATAGAAGGAAAGTAATATTTGATTGAGTAGCTTCTAAGTCAGGTACTGTGCTAGGTGTGTGTTGAGATTTATTTATTTGAAAGGCAGAGTGACAGAAGGAAAGACACAGACAGTTTACTCCCCAGATGGCCCCAACAACCAAATCTGGGCCAGGCCAAAGCCAGGAGCTATGAACTCTATCCTGGTCTCCCATATACGTGGCAGGAGCCCAAGCACTTGGGCCATCCTCTGCTGCTTTCCCAGGCCATTAAGCAGGGAGCTCAATCAGAAGTGGATCAGCTGGAACTCGAACAGGTGCCCATATGGGATGCCATATGGGAGGCCTAACCTAGTATGCCACAGTGCTGGCCCCATCCCCAAGATTTTTTTTCCAAAAGATTTATTTATTTATTTGAAGGTGGATGGGGAGGGGGAGGAGGAGGAGTTTAACAGTTAATTTTTCTTAAAGTTAATTTTTCTTAAAACGTGGCATATTGATAGGCATTTGTTTTTGGTGTTAAGTCTAAACGGTAGAAGTGTGGTAAATTGCTCTTAACATGAGTTATATAAAACACTTGGCGATCATCTTCATTACAGTCTTTTCCTTGGGATTAAGCTAATGCTTACCTGAGATGGTTAAAGTACTATCTTGACTGCCATTTCTTTGACTTAGGTCCTTTTGATGTTTTCCATGATGAAAAATGTACTGCCAAGGAAATATGTGTGTGTGTGTGTGTGTGTGTGCTCATGCATGCGGTCATGGCACTTTAGAACCTGTAGCTTGCCTAACCAATTCAACCTGTCTGCATTTCATTGAATTCCTACTATGGTGTAACAGGCTGTAAGGAATGTGAAAAGTATGGCATAGTTTTGTTCTCAGGGCTTAAAATTTTGGCATTGGGGCTGGTGTTGTGGCTTAAGAGGTAAAGCCATCACCTGGGATGCTGACATCCTATTTGGGCACTGGTTTGTGTCCCAGCTGCTGCACTTCTGATCCAACTTCCTGCTAATGGCCTGGGAAAATAGCAGAAGATGGCTCTAGTATTTGGGCCCCTGCCACCCACATAGGAGACCTGGATGAAGCTCCTGGCTTCAGCCTGGCTGTGCCCTGGCCATTGTGGCCATTTGAGAATGAACCAGTGATGAAAGATTTTTCTAATTTTCAAGTAAATAAGCAAATCTTGAAAATAAAAATTGGCATCATTACCACAAGCTAAATTATAGGTATTACCTTCTTTTCTGGACTTTTTGGTATTTGGCAACTATGCAGTTTAGTAGTGTGAGCCTTGAGGGCTTATGTTCCCTTATCAAATCCTGATAATGTCCACAATTATATATATAAACTACATCTTCCCTCCTCCTGCACTTTGCCCCAACTGTGTTTTAATGGAATTGTTTGGACTTCTTGTTTTTCATAGTGGGACACAGCAGGCCAAGAAAGATTTCGAACAATCACCTCCAGTTACTACAGAGGAGCCCATGGCATCATAGTTGTGTATGATGTGACAGATCAGGTGAGTTCCAAGATTGTTAGAGGTTCCTTTACTATTTTTTTATGGCAGAACTTTGTACTCTCCCAAGTATAAATATGATTCACATAAAACATGTTTGTTTTTAGTAAATAGAAAACTTTGTAATTAGTTTTATATTTGCTTTCAAGGGACTTGAATTTTATTTATTATCAGCTAAATAACTTTGCTCATAAAGGCAAGATTCTAACATATGAGTAGGGATTTGTACTGTGGTTATTTGGCTTATACTATGTTTTCTTGGTGTTAACAGAATTTGTCTGGAAATGAGAATTTTCCTGTCATTGCCAAAAGTGAAATTAAGGGGTCTTTGACTTGTGGAGGATATGGTTCATAAATAAATTGTTTGAATAAGATGAGCATAGGGTTATGTTAGGTAATGAATGTCTGAAAATCACATGCTGAGAGAAGGTGTGAGGATGGACAGAATGCAGGCTAGGATATTGGGAAGAATGTGGTGCAGGGGCCCTAACTGCAGGCTTCAGGCTCCTCTGTCTTCCTGTGAATGAAAGAAATAAAAGGTAAGCCTTGAAAATTGGAATTTACTTTTCTCGTAGTGTAAGTTGAATCCTATTTAAACTGTGAAATCATTGCCAATTAGGAGATAACACAGACATTCAGATTAAGTGCCATTGTACCTACTGGGTGGGGGCTATCGACAGAAGAGATGATCTTAATTCCAAAAACCTTTAGTCATGATAACCTTAAAATATTTTCAAATGAAAGCTTACCAGTATTTGATAACATCTTCAGAATTAACATGTTGCCCTATTTGCAAAATTTCAAAAACCATGTTTTATAATACAAAATAATTGGGTTTTTCTGAGTTGTGATTTGGTATTTAAGCTATTTTCCTCTCAAGGTATTTCACCATGAGCCTTTAAATTCTATCTTGTTATTCACTGAGGTAGTCATATATTAATTCACACTTTTCCTTGCTCTGTTTTTTTGTAGCTGGTGCTGTCTCACTAGCATTTCTTATCTGTTAGATCAGGAAGGATGCTTCTGATTATCATTTGCTTTCAGACTTAAATTATTCTTAAAATGTCTTTTCAGGAGTCCTTCAATAATGTTAAACAGTGGCTGCAGGAAATAGATCGTTATGCCAGTGAAAACGTCAATAAGTTGTTGGTAGGGAACAAATGTGATCTGACCACAAAGAAAGTAGTAGACTACACAACAGCAAAGGTATGTTTACAGTTTGGCTTTCACACTGAATTTGAAGGTGCTGGATTTGTGTTACGGTTATGGAGTCACAGAAAGGGCACGGCCATTTTAGCTTTAAAAAGCATGCACACTAGAATGCACTGCCAGTTCGTGAGTGTCTGTCTGGGTCCAGTGAACTCCTTCCTCCTCTAATCATCTTCTCAGATGGTATAAATGCATTAAGTGAAAAAGGTTTTCCAGTGCTAATTGTGCCTTATTACTCTTAGGAATTTGCTGATTCCCTTGGAATTCCTTTTTTGGAAACCAGTGCTAAGAACGCAACGAATGTAGAACAGTCTTTCATGACGATGGCAGCTGAGATTAAAAAGCGAATGGGCCCTGGAGCAACAGCTGGTGGCGCAGAGAAGTCTAATGTTAAAATTCAGAGCACTCCAGTCAAGCAGTCAGGTGGAGGTTGCTGCTAAAATTTGCCTCCGTCCTTTTCTCACAGCAATGAATTTGCAATCTGAACCCAAGTGAAAAAAAAACAAAATTGCCTGAATTGTACTGTATGTAGCTGCACTACAACAGATTCTTACCGTCTCCACAAAGGTCAGAGATTGTAAATGGTCAATACTGACTTTTTTTTTATTCCCTCAAGACCGCTAACTTCATTTTCAGAACTGTTTTAAACCTTTGTGTGCTGGTTTATAAAATAATGTGTGTAATCCTTGTTGCTTTCCTGATACCAGACTGTTCCCCGTGGTTGGTTAGAATATATTTTGTTTTGATGTTTATATTGGCATGTTTAGATGTCGGGTTTAGTCTTCTGAAGATGAAGTTCAGCCATTTTGTAACAAACAGCACAACCAGTGTCTGTCACTTTCCATGCATAAAGTTTAGTGAGATGTTCTATGTAAGATCTGATTTGCTAGTTCTTCCTTGTAGAGTTATAAATGGAAAGATTACACTATCTGATTAATAGTTTCTTCATACTCTGCATATAATTTGTGGCTGCAGGATATTGTAATTTGTTGCACACTATGTAACAAACAACTGAAGATATGTTTAATAAATATTGTACTTATTGGAGTAATATCAAATTATATGGTGATAAGTATTTTTAATTCTTATGGTTAAAGGGAACTAGAGCCTTGCATTATACTTAAAACCAGCCATTTGTGTGTGCAACCAAGGGCATTGTAGACCTACTTATCTTAGAGCAGCAATCAATAATTTGCTTTCTGGATACTAAACCTGACAAACGACCTAGGGAGACTTCTGTGCAGTGTAGGGATTAAACCAACTTTAGTGATTCAGGGAGCTCAAACTGTATGAAAAGTTTTAAGAGTATATACTATCTTGCCCATTATCTCTGATCCTTCTGTAAAATCATTGGAAATGGCTTTATTGGTCAACATTTCCTTAACTGACCTGTGGTACAGGTGGAAAGCAGCACACCTTTCCTATCTGGCAAGTATCAGAATGTGTGTGCTAACCTTGTTCCTTCCCTGCTCTGAGTCATGTCAACTATTTTATCCTTCATAGTTGTATAACTTAACTTTGGAAGAGAATTTACTATTGAAGTAGAAAACAGAAAATTTGCCCCAATGTTAGAAATTATCTCTAAAAAGAAACTGAAACATGAGAATGCTGGGGGTGGGGGGATGATAAATGAGAATCTATTTATTACAGTGAAATTTTGCACATTTGGAAATTTTGTTAAATAGGACCCTCAAGATCCTACAGTTTGTGTTTATCGTGGGAAACAAAGTATCTACTGGTGACACTGGCATTTTAAGGTGACAGAGGTCGAAATTGTTTCCTTAGGTTGAAGTAGCAGCCAAAACATTCTTCACTTAGAGGCTTGGGATGTGGCTGTCAGCAACACATTTTATTGTGGGGTCTTCAATGATAAAATTTAAGCTAAAACAAGCCAAAAATTATAGGTTTCTTTATTTTTCACTAAACAGGCAATTGAAATACATGGTACAAAAATAAGTGGCAAGATTATTGTAAAATGAAATGGACAGAATAAATATTCACTTTAATTTTCCATCTATGAGAATTTCACAATAAAATCATAGTTTACTTTGTATTATTATAGACGTGCTTATTGGATCTATTCATCATTACATAAGGCAACTGACAAATTCCTGAAGTTACCAATAATCATTTGGGTGAAGGATTTTTTTTTAACGTTTCAAAAGGTTTGGTTTTATGCAACCAATACAGTATATAAAGGGGAAGGATCAGAAACTTCTAAAAAGTAGCTAAATGTTTCAAAAGGTAAACCATGTGATGCCATGCACTTCAGCTTTATACAGCAAAAGTTGTTCACACCATCAGCTTATTAGTGAGTTAGCAGAACACACGCATGAATTTAAGATGTGAACATATTTACAGACAGTTTGGGAAATTCTAGTACTTTTCCCCCTATGACATCCAAGCTTAGGACTTAACCAAACAGTTTAGCATGCTTCACTACCTGCTTTTATGTCTATGCCAATAAATGCAGTTTTGAAAAAAAATTCCCATTTCTACTTCCATTTTCAAGTACAAACATTTCAAGAAATGGCTTTAATATAATCTGTTTACTTCTTAAAGGGAATTATCAACTGTCATGTTTTAAAGGTAGATGCCATAAATTAACTTACAGTGAAGAGTGTTCTAAACTCAAAGCAGTAGCAAGCTCTGGGAAATCTTTAAAGCCAGTATTAATATGAGCAGTAACTTCCCACCTGAAGCTCCCTCTGGCATGCATGTTGCCATTCAGCCCTTGCTTGGTGTTCCCATTTATGCTTTGAAACAGCCACTTGAATACCTTCCATCTGCTGATGAGCTTAGCCATTGACCTGCAACCACTGAGGTCTAGGATTAGTTTAGAATTGTTAATTGCAATTGCAAGGCAAATTCAGCTATTATTACCACTTCCTTGTGGACTCAATTTCCATAAATTTAATAGGGCTAAGTTTTTATTCTAGGGTGGTAGCATACTGCACCAGCTAGCCAGTTTGTGCGGGGAAATGCTGGCAACATATTCTTGGTTCAGACAGTTTCACCATTTTAAGGGAGGTGTTTCATACTCTTTGGTGGTATCAACAACCAGATTGAGTTAGCACCCTATAGTCAGTCATACTTTATTTCAAACAGAATGAACAAAAAATATCTTAGGATTACTTCCAGGTAAAGTAGAATATTCTATGAAAATTCCTGTCAGCTGAATGTTAGGCTGAATGACAAGAGATTGCCACATTGTGTATTCTATGGTATAATACTGGACAGTTTGTTTCTATGGTATTGTCACCTTCTGGTTTTTATGCCAACAGACTTATTTTCATGACTGTCAAATACCAGTATCTAAACATATTTAACTCTAAAGGCTGTCCTGTAACATATGTTGCAAAGGCCTGTTCCGGTTTCATCAAAAAGAAGTTGAAATGTATCCATTAAAAAGAGGCCATTATACATAACTTTTTAAAAAGTCAATTTAGATTTTTTTAAACTTTTACATTTATGCTTATAATTGGTAGTGATTTCCTAGGGAGATGTCATTTTTTAAAATCTCACTATGTATGGGACCAACATTAAGATGGAGATGGTAGAATCAGAAGGCAGTTTAATTCTGATCATGCCATAGTACCAGCAGGCACTTGAAATACTATATTTTTCTGTGTAGCTACTATTGAGTGGCTGATCTTTCAATATTAAAATTTAACAGCTTTTCTCCCATGACTCTAAAGTCTGAGATATTCTGAAGCAGAAAAATCACATTTCATAGAACTTTTGTTTCTACTGTGTGAGTGTACTGTGCTTTCTTCTTTCCAATATTCATTCATGGCCCAACCAGAAGATTTAAAGCACTTTTTTGTGGAGTCTGTGGTTGTTAGCAAAAACTGGCCATTTGCTTCAGTAAGTTAGAGAATGGATGTTTTAAGTGGTTGATCCATTGTTGTTGCTGTTGTAGTTTTCTATGAAAATATTTAAATGTCAACTCCTAAGCAACAAAGAATTCCCTTACTTCTCTGACAGGTTTAGTTTATGTAGTTAACCAGGGTATGTGATTTTAACCATTCCCTTCTGTGACCTGAGAGTAGGAGGAGGAGTAGGAATGGAGGAACAAATTCTTCCAGAAGTACCCATAGCCATGCTGAAGGACAATGGTAGTTCTCCCAAGTCCCTGATGCATTTGAAGATAACGGGCAGGAAGCTGGAGACCTAAGCCCTGGAGATGACAAAAGGTGTCATAACTATCCAAAGTAATCTGTACAGGTTCTCTTCATTTATATGCCCTTTCTTGTGCAGAGTAAAAGTCTCTGAAGACACACTTACAAACCTAAGCATCATTTTATGGAAAGACCCAAGGTTTCTGGCCAGCCATTCACTTTTTTCAGTCTGTTGTGTTCTTTTTTATAAAAATGCCTGACAATACCAACTCTCTTAGTTGTAAGTGGAATAGTATAAGAGCTTTGCCTGTTTTAAATTGGACAGAGGAGACAATAGCTGTCTTATTTGATCAAAAATTGCAAAGCCATGTGCTCTTTGTAGAGAAGCACCAAACAGAAAACCTTAGTTTGGGAAGGATTCACTGTAAATAAAGGTAGTAACTTAACAGCCCTTACTTCAAGAAGAGAAAGGCATTTTAAAGCTCATGTGTTAGAGTTAAGTTTCCTGCTTGACAATATTAAATGGCTCTTGCAAGAACATTTCAAAGTTGTCTTCTCATAAACCAACTTTTGGTTGACGCAGTGCATCTGTCTGAGAAGCTGCCTGAAAGAGAAAGGTGAGTTTGTTACAGGCAGAATGTTGGCAAAGGAAGAAACAAATGAAAAAAATGACTCCTCAGACTGCTTTGATGCAGTTGATGCAGATACAGAGACTCCCTGCTCACATGTGATATACCTACAGTGAGTTCTTACCTAGAAAATCCACATTTTGTGGTAGGAGATGAAGTGCCAGTTATTAAGTACACTAAGCAGTGGCAACCGCAAAGTGCACACCAATCCTCATAGACCCTTTCCTACCATCACAAACAACTTGTCTTACTTGTGCTGTCTTGCCACTCCGGCTGTTCTGCAGCCCTTTTTGGGAGGGTCTAGTATTGTAGAAACCCTTGGTGGGAAGGGTGGTGGTGAGGACTTATCAGTGTTGTCAGAAATGAGTTAGGCAAGAAAACCCTGCAGAATGGTGGTAGCCTGGTCATGCCTCGTGCTGGAGAAGTGTCCATGTAGAACTGAAGGAAGTACAGACGAGTTGTGCTTCTGGTATCTTTGGGTGGCATGGGTACGTGAAGAGACTGCTGCTGAAGCGGGAGCACGGGGCACCCTCCTTAGCAGGCGGCAGTCCGGGGAAGCGCCACAGTGAGCTAGCATGATAGAAAATGCACACCCTCCTGGCAGTGGTAGCCACTCCTTCTTCAGTGCTTCCTTCCTGGATCTCATTTGTTTCAACAGCTTTGACCTCACCAGAAGTCATCAACTGTCTGTGTCCTAATCAGCACTGGGTTGGAGGGCAGATTTTCTTTTTGGGTTCCTCTACTTACCAGGTTAAACTCTTTCACTTGGGCGCTCTTTTGCTGTCATTGGCTTGTTCTCAGGGATGAGGGCACAGCCAGCCAGCAGGTCCACAGAAGTTAAGATAGAGTCATACAGGCGATCTGCATGGCTCTCCAGCTCGCCAGACTGCCTTGCGATCCTCCCAAGGACATCCTTTAAAACTGACAGGGTCAAAGCAGTTAGACCAAAAGAACCCATGCAGATGTTGCCACTAAATAATTTCCTAAAGAACATACAGGGTTATAGCATTCAGCACATCATCAGAGCCTGGCAGCAGATTCCAAATGCCCACCCTTTCTCAATGATGATTCTACTGGGACTTCTATGTTAACTTAACAATTCAAGCCAACAGAACTCACTGGCTCCACTCTGGAATTACAAAACCCAAGACGGGCACAGGGACGTAGTTTTCTGGTGAGTGGTATTATCTGACGTCAGAGGTGGGACACAGATTACACCCATATCCTTGCATGCACAAGGACAACACGTCAAGCCTTAGACAGAGGGCCCTGCTGCTACCAGATCCTAACAACTTCTGTTGGCAAAGGGACTGCTGTTTCATAATATGGGTGGTCTAGTAATACATTTATGGAAATGCTTGTGACCCTTTTGTGGGTCCCAAGCAGATGATCCAAGCAGGCTAAGACAGGACTGCTAATGAGGCCAAGATTCACATCTATAGTCAGAAGTGTTCATGTGACAAAAGGGATAGGCTAGGATCAGGGTACATCGCACACAGCAGGCTTGCGTTTTCTTAAAAAAATTTTTCTTTCACTAAGCACACAGGCTGCCTTAGCTTCCTGCGCCTTTATCAGCTGTGTTAACGCTCCCAAGTTTCCTGCTGGCCGCTGTAGCATCTGTCAGCAGAGCAACGGCAAAGGAAGCTGCAATCTGCAGGCAGTGCTGACTGGATGGGCAGGAGGAGGAGCACGGCGGCCCCAGCAAAGCCACGTCTGTGCTGTGTCATCGCCGAGTGCTGTGCTGACAACTCCTGAGTGCAGGCGCCCTGTGTGGGCAGTCTTTTCCTGGAACATTCTTTTTCTGGAATGTTTTTTTTCTGGAACTTTTATTTTAGACTGTTAGGACAGTTGTGCCAAGTAAAAAGTAAGGAAGGGGAATTAAAGATATCTTTTTTCCCAGTAAGATTTTTGTGTTCACTTAATAACCACATAGAGCGGCCTAGTTTGGCTTAATGACAACAGGTTTGAGTTGAGTCATGTGGCCTACTGTATTATGGAGTTTGTTGTGGGATGTAGTGCGCCCAAGTACCTGAGTCAGGAAGAAGTAAAAACCTGCCTGATCCTCATGTGGAGGGCTTGGGCAGGAGGCTGAGAGGGCATAGTTGGAGAGCAGGGAGCAGATACTGGCATCATGCCGTGAAGGCTATAAGAAAAGGCCCTACAGAAGCTAAGGGGAGAGAGGGAGAGAGTGAGTGTGTGTGTGTGTGTGCACGCACACACGCTGTCTGCAGCATGCTCTGGGGCAGCAAAATGTGCATTACACCAGCTGGAGACAGACTGAATGTTAAGAGGAGCTTGCAAAGCTCCTGACTGGTCCAAACAGAGAATGGGGGAGGGTGCGTCCATGTGAAGAGAGCCTGGATACAGATCTGAAAGCCACAGAAAACCCTAAGCCCTGGCCTGTGAAACACCCTCAGATCCCTTCTGAGACAAGGGCCAAGCAGAACGTTCTTATTACAGATTAAGCACCAGAAAGTATTTTTAAGTCAAGGTCAGAGAACCTTTTTCTTTTCTTTTTTAAATTTTTTTGAGAAAGTGAGCTCCATCTAATCTAAATGCCTGCAACAGCTCCTGGGCCAAAGGTAGGAGCTGGAAATAAGCAATCCAGGGCTCTCATGTGGGTGGCAGGAAAAGCCCTTTTCCTGCCTTCCAGGATGCGTTAGCTGGAGCTGGGTATCAACCCTAGATACATGTAGCTTTGAGAAAGGCCTATTTTGGAGGCCAGCGTTATGGCATAGCAGATAAAGCTGCCGCCTTTGCCAGCATCCCATCCTGGCTGCTCCACTTCCGATCCAGCTCTTTGCTTTAGGGCCTGGGAAAGCAGCAGCAGATGGCCCAAGTGCCCAGGCCCCTGCACCCGGGTGGAAGACCTGGAAGAAGCTCCTGGCTCCTGCATGGCCCAGCCTTGGCTGTTGAGGCTATTTGGGAAATTAACCAGCAGATGCAAGATCTCCTTGTCTCTCCATCTAACTCCACCCTTCAGATAAATAAAATACATCTTTAAAAATAGGGGGGAAAAAAAAGTCGTGCTTTCACACATGACTTCCATGAAGAGAGGAGGTTCCCAGTATTTCTGAACTCTCCCTTTTGCTGAGGCCCCTGTGCTTTGAGACACAGCAGCAGGGGCTCAGCCAGGCTGCTATTTCTCCTGTGGCCTGAAGCAAATTCACAGCTCTTAAAATAAGGTGATGGCAATAACAGTATCCGTCTCACAGGGGTGTGATTAAGTAGGGGGGAAGAAAAGGGTCTGCCAACTGCTTCTGCAGTGTCTGACCAACAGGAACTATTCAGTGAGATGCTGATGTAGCAAGGGAGCTTAGCAGGGGCTAGCACGGTGCACAGGGAGTTAAGCCACCACCTGTGACACCAGCATCCCATGAGCCCCGGTTTGAATCCCAGATGCTACACTTTGACCCAGCTCCCTGGTAATGCACCTGGGAAAGCAGCGGAAGATGGCCCAAATGCTAGGGCTCCTGCATCCACTTGAGAGAGAGAGTCTCCTGGCTTTAGCCTGGCCCAGCTCTGGCCATTGTGACCATCTGGGGAATGAACAAATGGACAGAATATTTCTTATACTCCCCCTACACCATGCCCTGTACCTGCCTTTCAAATAAAATATAAGTAAATCTTTAAAAAAAAAAGAGGGGGGGGGGAGTGTATGTGTGCTTAGCATACCCAATTTCTTCCCAACAAAACACCTAAAAAGCCCTAGTACAAGAGAACAAGGCAAGAACAGAAACTGAGGCCTTAAGGAGGCAGAGGACTGCAAAGGGCACATATAACTCCTAATCACTTCCCACTGCAAACCCTTCAGTGGTCCCTGTCCATCAAAACCCCTCTGCCTACCCAGGGCTCTTGCCAGGGTACATCCAGTTATGTCTAGAAACACTGCATTGTCAAACCTGCTGGGGAGAGGAGGCTTACTGGTGTCTAGTGGAGCCAGGGTACTGCTAAACCCTACAATGCATAGAAGACCTAGACAACAGAGAACTTCATGGCAACAGCGACCACCTCCCCAGTACACACCTGCCCACTACTCTGATAAGGAAAAGTGCCTTTTCACCGATTCTCAAAGTCTTTTGACTCCTCTTGGTTCAGCTTTGCTTAGGCTATCTAACTTCCAGTATAAATCTCATATCACTCCAAAACAGGCATAATGTAGATGGGCTCTTTCAGTACTTGGTTGTGGTCTTACAGGAAATGATGGGCTGCTTTGGCTGCATCAGTTCAAGGCTTTTTTAAATTTGAGAGGGAGGGAGAATGAGAGTGTACACGCATAAGCACGTACTCCCACCCACTGGCCCAGATGTATACACTTGCCAGGGCTGGGACAGACGGAAGCTGGGAACTGAATCCAGGTCTCCCACATGGGTGGCAGGGACCCCAACCATTTGAGCCATCACTGCTGCCCATGGTCTGCATGAACAGGAAGCTAGAATCAGGAGCAGAGCTAAGACTCAAACCTAGACATTCCAATATGGGAAATGGGTATCCCAATTGGTGTCCTGCTCAACAGCTAGGCCAAATACCCACCAACAGTTCATTGCCTCAACCTCCCACGCACCTGGCTTATTCTCTATATTCTATCTCCCCCTGCAAGGGAATGGGAATCTTTGGTAGCTGGTGTGCTGTGATCTTCACTTTCTAAACTGGGAATCAATTCTACAAGAGATTCCAGGTTAGCTTGCACACTACTGCCAGCCATCTCTTCTCAGAGACCAGACGGATTGTTTTCAAATCCTTTTCATCAATACAATCCTTTCCCAAAGCAGCACACAAAGCAGATAAGCACAGAGGAATTCAACTTGAGCTGGATAATATGGGGAACCCCTGGAGAGCTACCCACCGAGCACCCCAGCCATACACTTAAGATCACTGGATTAAAATAGGATTCCCATCCAGAATACCACCAGAGAAACATAAGTAGAAGTAAAAGAGAATGTCATTCTGGTGCGTTCGATGCCTCCTTTCTAACAGGCTCACTCTTTATGCTGGTGGCTGCCTGAGGGGTCAACAGGGCTCCAGGATCATGGGTGTGTGGAGGAGGGGTTCCTGCAATGCTGGCTCCTTGCCAGGACAGAGTTGGTCTCCTGGCCTGCTGCCGAGAGGAGTAAGACCTGGCTAATGGAAAAACCTCAGGCACCTAAATAAGCATAAACCAAGAGAATGGAGAACCATGAAATAAATCTATGTAGCTATAGCCAAATGATTTTCAGAAGGCAGCAGGAAAGGAAAATTTTCTAAGTTTATAGAAGAAAGGAAAGTTTCTTTGATAAACGGTACTGGGGTAACTGGATAGTGATGTGTAGAAGAACTAGACTGCTGTCCCTCACAACATTCAAATGGATCAAGGACCTAAGTGTAAAAACTGAGATGATGAGACACAGGGAAAATGCTTTGCGACATTGGCATGGGCAAAGAATGTTTGGATATGACCCTAAAAGCAAAAAACTGACCAATGGGTTTGTACAGCAAAGGAGATAATCAACAAAGAAACACTCTACAGAAAAGAGCAAATATTTGCGAATATTCATCCGACAAGAGATTAATATTCAGGATGTATAAGAAACTCAAAACAGTTCAACAGCAAAAACCCAAATAATCTAACAAAAAATGAATAACCTGAATAGACATTTTTCAAAATATACAAATGACCTACAGTATATGAATCTGTGCTCAACATCACTGATCATAAAGAAAAATGTAAAGCAAAACCACACTGAGTTATCAATGTGCCCCACTCAGAATGCCACTGTCAAAAAGACAAGTAGCAAATGTTGGCATGGATGGGAGTGGAAAAGGCAACAGAGACACTACCGGTGGGAAAGTGTATCAGTGCAGACATCATGGAGAACAGTCTGGAGCTCCTCCCCAAATGGGAATTGTAACTACTATGTGGTCAGCAATCCCATCACTTAGTATATATTCAAAGGGAATGAAATTATTATTTAAGAGAAACCCACACTCCCATGTCTACTGCAGCAGGATTTACAGCTGCCAAGATACAGAATTGCTGAGGTATCCACTGACAGATGAATGGATAAAAAAAAATGTGATAAATATATACAACAGAATAATACTCAGCCATCAGAATAAAATTCTGTCATCTGTAGTAACATGAGTGGAAATCAAGGACCTTACATTAAGTAAAATACGTTGGGCACAGAAAAACAGATACTGTATACTCCCACTCACTTGTGGAAGCTAAAAAATTTGATCTTGAGGGGCAGGCCACGTAAGATGTCACTTGGGACACCTGCATCCCCAGTGGGAGGGACCGGCTCCGCTCTCAATTCAAGCTAATGTACACCTGGGAGGCATTAAACCTGATGATGGCCCAAAACTAGTTGGGTCCCTACCACCCATGTGGGAAACCTGGATTGAGTTCCTGGCTCTTGGCTTTGGCCTAGTCTAGTTCCAGCTGTTGCAGGTATTTGAAGAGCAAACCAAAATATAGATCTCTTTTTCTCATCTCTCTGCCTTTCAAATAAAATAATGAAATGTTGCTTTCAGGGAGCTCTACGGTCTAGTGGTTAAGATGCTGGTCAGGAGGCCCACACTGCTCTGTCAGAATGCCTGGGTTTGAGTCTTGGCTCTCTCCTGATGCAGCTTCTTGTGCACCCTGGGAAGCAACACGTGATGGCTCAATGTAACTAGATCCCTGGATTGAACTTCCGGCTTTGGCCTGGCCCAGCCCTGGCCATTGTGGGCATTTGGTGAGTGAACCAGCAGTTGGAAGCCCTCTTTCTCAAAAAATAAAAAGTTCACAGAATAGAGTGGTGGTCAGGAGAGGCTGGGGAGAGTGTGTGGGGGGAGGCAAGAAGAAAGGATGGTTATCAGGTACAGAGGTGCAGCTGGACAGGAGGGAAAACTTCTCATGTCTAGCACAGGGTAACCGCAGTTGACAATAACTAACTGTATTTCAAAATAGCCAGTACAGAGAGTTTTGAATGTTTACAACACAAATGGTAAATGAGGTGATGGATAGGCCACTTACCCTCATCTTATCATTACACACTGCACACATGGACTGAAATGCCACACTACACTATACAAATACATATGTGTGTCAAGAATACAGACTACATGTAAGAAAACAAGAAAACCTCAAGCGTCTCACCTGGGGCGTTATCCAGCAGGCACTGAAGGAGAATCTCTCCCCTCCGTAAGACGCTCTCTGTCAGGGACTGGTGTTCGTCTATATCTTTCTTAAATTGCTTAAAAGCATCCGAGAGAAGGAAAAGGGAAAGCGTTATTAACAGCTGTCTTGTCAAGTTCCTGAGACAAACGCCATGCAGGGTAGCTCGAGCGTGAAGACCCTGCCAGCGAGCGATCCGCCCAGCAGCGTCACTGTAGCTGCTCTGAGCCCAAGTGCACAGAGAGGGCTGTGTCCCCTCTGGTTTGCCATCAGGACAGTTTTCTTTTCCCTGAAGATGCTGGCTGAAGGACAGCGTGGAGCCAGGGTTTCCCCCCCATGCCCTGCGTCATGGGGTTCTCTTGAACACACAGGGATATGAGATTCTCAAAATCAAATGCATTCTGTCTAAACGGCCCTGCTAAGTGAGACACACAAGACAGCTCCCTTTGCGCTGATGGGAGAGAGGGGCTGCCGTGACCCCAGCGTTCCTCAGCCTACCCCCGCCTTCCCAGACAGCCAGGGTCACTGTCGCAGCACCTCCCATGCAGCTCGTCTGTCCCCCTCACAGCTCCAGGCCTGTAGCTGACTGTTCTTGATGTCCTTTAGGTGCTGAGAAGTGTAAACCTGGATCCATGACCGCCTTTACTGCAGGCTGCAGAACCTAGTGCTTCAAATCTGGAAGTGATAATTTTACTCTTGGATTTACTATTTTGCTGTGATAACTGTACATACATTATTTTATTCTCTGGTATTCTGTGTCGTTTATATGCTGCCTTGGTCCCACTTTGTTATTAATACAAAGCGCATTATGTGGGAAAGTAAATCACAGGCAAACTAAGTGAATACAGGGCAGGTGATGTGGCACAGCAGGTGACGCTGCCACGTGCAATGCCCCGATCCCATAAGGGATTGCTGGTTCGAGTCTTTTGCTTCCGGCCCAGCTCCTTGCTACTGCAGCCCAGGAGGAAGCAGATGATGCCTGAAGTGCTTGGGCCCTGTCACCCACATGAGAAACTCAGATGGAGTTCTGGGCTCTCGGCTTCAGCTTCACCCAGCCCCGGCTATTGTGGGCATTTGGAGATTGAGCCAGTAAACCAAGAATCTCTTTCTCTCTTCCTTTAAAGTAGATGAAAATAAACATTTTTAAAAATATGTAAATATACACCTACTTGCCTATAAGTAAAATTTCATGGGATAATCAATCTTTTCATTCCATTTCCATGATATTTTTGAAGGGCCCTTGTCCTAGGTCTTGATGTAAGCCTGAGTCAAGGTAGCGCATAGGTGTGCAGGAGCCATGCACTGGTTCTGTGCGGGGAAGGGGTGTGCACTCGCTTCTACCTCGTGACACAGTTGTGTGGCTGCCACAAGAGGCCTAGGCCACACTGACCTGCAGGACTCAGTCCTGGCTCAGCTTTTAGCTAGGATCATTGCTTCTGGCCAGCCTGGACCTGAGGCACAGAAGGTGGGTATGAGGGACAGAGTCCTTCTGTCTGCACTTGGCTCTTATAGGCCAGGAAAGGCCATCAGGGTAGTTTAATAAGGCAATTCCTCTCCCCAGGGGAGTGCTGGTCCTGGGCCCCAGGGCTTGTCCCTGTACAGTATGTGCTCACTCTTGGGGTTTGCACAAAGAGGACCCTGGCACCCACCCTCCTCAAGCGCAGACTGGGTAGGAAACTCATGGCACCTTCCCTCTGTGTTGCAAGCAGCAGCATTCCCGTTAGGAGGGAGCAGCTGGCCAGGCCTGCCCAAGCCCAAGTGAGACTCCTCCCCTAGATTTTAGCTGGAAAACAAAGGCCCTTCCTCTAGCAGCAGGGGTGTGGTTGGGTTCCAGTGAGACTCTGAGTCAGCTTGGCTTGGCTCCTGCACAAACAGATCACACCCTCTTCTGCTGAAGATATGGTCAGGAGTTCAGGCTAAGAAAGAGCACTGTGGCAGAAAACCTCTGCTAGTCTAGCTCCAGCCTCAGACCACAAACGCTGCTTCGGCTCCTTCACAAAGACGTAGGGAAGGCTGGTACTGCCAGACAATGACAGAAGTCAATCTGGCCAAGGTGAACAGGATACTTAGGGTAACAACCTTCTCATTTATCCTCCAGGACACTTCTGAGAATGAAAGGGACTCATTATTACGTATGCCAGAACAACAGCTACAACCTGGGACAGACACATAATCATCCCAAATATATATGATCTAGGATCAAGGCAACTACAACCCACAAAGAGGTAGTTTGTTTATTTTTTAAAGATTTATTCGACAGGCAGAGTTACAGGAGGGGAGAGGCACCGGAGAAAGGAGGGAGAGAGAAAATGAATCTCTTTTATCCACTGGTTCACTCCCCAAATGGCTGCAAGAGCCAAGGCCAGGCCAGACTGAAGCCAGGCGCTTCATCTGGGTCTCCCATGTGGATGCAGGGAATCTATGGACTTGAGTCATCTTCCAGGGCTTTCCCAGGCGCATTGGTAGAAAGCTGGATCGGAAGTGGAGCAGCCAGGTCTTGAACCAGCACCCATATGGGATGCCAGTGCTGCAGATGACAGCTTTACCTACCATGCCACTGTACCAGCCCCACACAGAGGTAGTTCAAAAAGCAAAAGAGAAAGGGGCTGGCATTGTGGCATAGCAGATAAAGCCACCGCCTATAATGCCAGCATCCTACAGGTGTTGATTCAAGTCCTGGATGCTTTATTTCCAACCCAGCTCCCTGCTAATGGTCTAGGAAAAGCAGTGCAAGATGGCATCGGAGATCCAGATGCAACCCCTGGAGCCTGGCTTAGCCCTGGCCATTGAAGTCATCTGGGGAGTAAACTAGATGGAAGATCTCTAACTCTCTCAAGTATTTTTCTGAAGAAACAGTAAAAATAGGGGCCGGCATTGTGGGCTAAGCCTCCGCCTTCAGTGCTGGCATCCCATATGGGCGCTGGTTCATGTCCCGACAGCTCCTCTTCTGATCCAGCTCTCTGCTATGGCCTGGGAAAGCAGTGGAAGATGGCCCAAGTGCTTGGGCCCCTGCACCTGTGTGGAAGACCCGGAAGAAGCTCCTGGCTTTGGATTGGTCCAGCTCCGGCCAATGTGGCCATTTAGGGAGTGAACCAGCGATGGAAGACCTTTATCTCTGTCTCTCCCTCTTTTTGTCCATAACTCTACCTCTCGACTACATAAATACAATCTTTAAAAAATAATAACCTAGGTTAAGCCACTGCTCGTGATGCCGGCATCCCATGTTGAACAGAGTGCTTGTTTGAGTTCTAGCTTCTCTGCTTTTGATTCAGCTTCCCACTAATTACCCGGGAAAGGAGTGGAAGATGGGCTAACTACTTGTGCCCCTGCCACTCATGTTGGAGACCCAGCTGCAGTTTCAAGCCCCGGCCACTGCAGCCATTTGGGGAATAAACCAGTGGATGGAAGCTCTGTCCCTCCATTTCTCTGTCACTATATCAAATAAATAAATCTTAAAAAATAAAAAAAACTGAACTTACAGGGTGGGTGTTTGTTATAGCAGTTAAGCTGCCAGCTGGGATACATACATCCCATAATGGTGTGCCTGGGTTCAAGACCTGGCTCAATTCCCGATTCCAGTTCCCTGCTAACGCGTACCTTGGGATGCAGCAGGTGATGGCACAAACATCTGGGCTCCAGTCACATGGGAGCCTTGTACTGAGTTCTCAGTTCCTAACTTTGGCTTGGCCCACCCCGGCTATTGTGGTTATTTAGAAAAGGAACCATTGGATGGGAGGTCCCTGCCTGTCTCTATGTCTCTCTGCCTCTAAAATAAATTATTAAACAAAAATTAAATTCTTTAATAAGTAAATTTTAATTTAGTCAATAAAATTTCTAAATGAAAAAACCCAGAACCTTAATAAAATATAGGCAAAAAAGAACAACAAACAAACCCAAATCAAACCAAAACACACAGAAAAGCAAACTAATGTCAGGTTTTTGTTTAAGTATCATCAGGATGCCTAGTGTCTACTGTGCAGTCAGTACAACTTCAGTTCAGGACCTTAAACAACAGCGCAGGCCCAGGGAAGTGTGTGTGAAGACGGAAATGCTGTGTGTGTGCGCCGCTACTGTGGCTGCTGAGCACCTGCGATGTGACCACACAGGTCAGCACACACAACTCCTGAGACAGAAAAGTACACTGCAAGTCACTCTCTTGTATCGGTGACCCCACATAAAGTGTTTCCTCCAAACTTGGCTCAGCCTGCGCAACAACTCATGCGTTAACGGAATTTTCAGCATTAGTAATCTGAAAAGGGTCTATGATTAGATTTCAGGGGCAAACAGGTAAACTGAGCTTTAACACGCAAGGCATCAGTCACGTGTGGTTTCCCTTTGTAATGAAGCCACTCCTGAGCTGGGATGGCGACTTACCCGGTAGAGCTGCAGAGAAGACTTGAGAGCTGCGAGGCTGGGGCTGGATGGAGTCCCGGGGTTTGTGGCGTCAGCCACATTATACAGCCAGCGGATCAGTTCTTCCAGCTGACAGCAAAATGTCTGTGGAGACAAGTAAAAACACCTGGTATTAGTGACTGAACTACTTTTTAAAGGCTATAGAAATGGGATTCCACAAGAGGGATGAAGCACCTTTCCAGAACTTTCTCTCACAGAGGCGTTAGTCTCCCCGCTCCTCCCCCGGACCGCCCCCTCCTTCAGGGCAATAAAAGCCCACTAGGCTCAGTCTCCTTCAGTTGGTGTCCACCAGAAACGTCAGGCTGAGCAAACCAGGCCTGCAGGCAGTGGTGAGCAGCAAAGCAAAGGGTAGAGGCAGGGAGCGGCCCCAGGAGCCAACTCTCGGGCCTGCACTGCTACTGTCAAATTCTGCGGGGACAAGGGATGACTCATCTGAACACACCCAAAACAACCGTACCCCATGGGATCCCAGTCTTTTTTAAGATTTTATTTGAAAGGCAGTGACAGAGAGGAAGGCACAAACATGCACGCACACGCGCACACACACACACAGGAGGAAGAGGGGAGAAGGAAGAGGGGACGGGGAGGGGAGAGAGAGGGGACACTTCCACCTGCTGCTTCACTCCCTGAGTGGCCATTATGGCTTGGACAGGCCAAAGCCAGGAGCTTGGAGCTTCATCTGGGTCTCCCACATGTGTGGCAAGGGCCCAAGTACTTGGGCCATCCTCCACTGCTTTCCCAGGCACATTAGCAGGGAGCTGGATCAGAAGTGTACTGCAGGGACCCAAACCAGTATTCCGATATAGGATGCTGGTGTCACAATGTCAGCCCAGCATCTTTGTCTGTCACCACAAAAGGGCACTCAATAACATCTGTCCTACCTGCTTCACAGGATAAAGAAAACCATGCATGTGACACCCTGGGGAGGTTCAAGTCCTCCCCTTGTGGCGCTGGCTCCCAAGGCATCACTCACGCTGCTTCCCGGGGAAGGTGGGCAGAGGGACACTTAAGAGCGTGGAAAAGGACATTCCTGAACTGCTGTCATGTGTCAGGGCCTACATGAAGCCTCTGATATGAATTACTTCATCTACACAACATCCTAAAGAGACAGGAGTCCAAAGGGTACAAAAAAGCCAACTCAAGAGCCCAAATACCAGAGATTGCAGAGTCACGATTCAAATTCAGGTCTGTCTGCCCCTGATAATCCTGCGCCACACACTACTAACCAGACCCTGAGAGCAACAGGTGGTCAGTAAGAAGGTTCAGTGGCCAAGAAGGCTAGGGCGTGGGACATCAAATGCCTGAAGTCTGCAGCAGCACCAGTCAGCGGGAAGCAGCGAGGAGGGGTGGTCATTAAGAGCTCAGGCTCCAAGGTCTGCCTGGGTCTGATTCCTGGTTCTGGCCTTGCTAACTGGGCAAATTCACTCTTCCCTAAACAGCGACATGAGAACACCACTGAGCTGGTTAGCGTGGCGAGGACTAAGTACATGCAGCAGTCGGTCCATTTAGCAAGTTTTTATCATGATGTTAGTGGCTCAGGGAAGGAGACGTCGTACACAAAGCCTCGTAAGGTGGTGTTACCTTCACACATTGCACCAGCGATTCCTGCCCCTGTTCTTCGTCCCCGGGAAGCCGCCCTTCAGCAGCTAGGGCTGAGGAAGGCCACGGGTCCAACACGGCAGGCAAGGAGGCCCCTGGAGCCTGGCTGCTCACCAGACTGCCTTCCCCTGCAGAGTCCTGGGGACAGACAAAGGAGCGCACAAAACGGCAGTTCTGGCTCTCAAAGCCCCCAGAGCCTCTCAGGGCAGCCTCAGAGGGAAGCTGGCTTTGGCTGGAGTCCGATGGGAGAGAAACCGGCCCATCACTGTCCGACACTTCCAGGGAGCTCTGCCCTTCGGAAGCCCCACCAGGAAGGGTCATCAAGGTGGGGAAGGAGCCCAGATATGAAAGCAAACTAGAAACCTGTGTCAGCCGAGTGGGCAAGGCCAGATATTCGTCGTCACTGTCTACTTCGTCTTCTGATCTCCATCCAGACCCCATGCAGGCAGGCCGTCGGACACTCTGGCTGGCCCCTTTCTCCTTCTCTGGCCTGGGCAAAGGCCACCCTCTGTCCCAAGTCCTCAGCTGGGAAGAACCCACTTCGAGATGCTTGCCCACGGGGAGCGAGTCCTTTGCACCCCTTGGAGTTGACTCTCTGCTTTCCCAAGGAGCATCCCTGGTGCCTGGAGCCCTGGGTGTAGATGCCAACTGGCTCCAAGGTGCCACTCCCACGTTGCCCTGTTTCTGGGGTACCCCAGAGGGCCACTGCTTAAGGTGGGACTCTCTGGCCACAGAAAATGGCAGAGCCGTGCCCTCTGGAGGTGGGCCATTCGGGGAGACATTAGTGGGCGATTTGAGGGTACTGGCGGGGGAGACAGAGAAGCTATCCAGGTCTACCCCCGAGTCCTGCAGGACAGGGTCAGCCGGCACATGGCTGTTCCGGTGCTGGGGAAGCTGAGGCCCAGGCCTCAGCGGGTAAGTGTAGTCCAGCAGGTCTTCATACTCTTTATTTGGGTTCCACAGCGGGGAGTGGCGGTCAGGGGAAGGAGGCAAGGAATCTGGCAGCACGCAGGCCCAGTACTCGGCCTGGAAGGAGAGGTGCCTCCTGCTGAGGCCAGAAGAATCAGCCCCAGAGTTCCTGGGCAGTGGTGACCACTGGAGCCGAGGCCCTGGCCTCAGCAGACAGGGGGCTGCCTGTGGGACCACCAGCTCTAGGGAGGAGACCTTGGCCAGGGAGCAACTCTGAGGCTCCACTGGCTCTCGGTGATCCTGGAGACTGCTGCCCGTGGAGGAGGCAGAGAGGCTGCAGCTGGCAAGCTGGGCAGCTGTGGCCCTTGGGAGAGGGAAACCTGAGACGTGAGGCTGCTGGCTGAGGCCCCGTCCCAGGGGCGAACCCACTGGGGAGGGGTCGTCTTCAGTATCCGCATCATGTCCTGAGCAAAGAGCTGCAGCTCTGGGAAGAGGTGACTGAGGTAGCTCCTTGCAGGCAGAAAGCTTGGGCTCCTCCATCTGCAATGAAAAGAAGAAAAGGCAGCAGTGAACCAAATTTCTTCTCTTAGCTAACAAAGCTGGAGTTCTCTAGGGGGCCCAGAAGTGCTCAAAGATCTCAGAGAGAAGTCTGTTGCCGGAGGCCAGAGTCAGAGCATGAATTGCCTGTGGGGGTGTGGCAAGTGTGAGATCCAGCCTGCTCTAAGCAGCAGAACCAGCTTCCCCACACTGACCCCCAGCCCTTTCAAAACGCCTTCCTCCATTGACAGCTAGCGTGTGACTGGGCAGACCCCTGCGGCTCTGTCAGGAGGCCCCCAGGCTGCACCGTGCTCAGCTCCCATGCCAGAGGCAAGCACTGGCAAAGCAATCATTCAGCTCTTGGCAATCTAAGTTTTTTTTTAATATCTTACATTATTTTTAAAGGTTTTCATTTTACTTGAAAGGCAGAGAGAGACAGAGAAAGGTCTTCCAACCAGTGGTTCACTCTCTAAATACCAGGCTCAGCCAGGCCAAAGCCAGACACCAGGAGCCCAGAACTTCAATCTCCCATGTGGGTAGCAGGGATGCACGTACTTGAGCCAACATCAACTGCCTCCCAGAGCATGCATAAGCAGAAGTAGCAGGGACTCAAACCAGCACTCTGATGTAGGATGCGGGTGTCCCAAGTGGCATCCTACTGCACCATCCGCCCATGCCTGCAACTTGCATTTTTAACCTGCTCAATGAAGACCTGACCCTGGATGAGGGCAGCATGGTGGTTATGGGCATGGGTTTTGGAAAAAGACCTGATGTCAACCCTAACTCTGCTAGATTCCAGATGTACAACTATCTTCAAAGCCTCACTCCCTCCTGTAGAAGGGAGGTGACAGCAGCAGCCCCTCAGCACAGGACTAATGGAGGCCATGTGTGGAAAGCACATGGCAAGACCTCCACAAGCAGGCGGCACTATAACCAGCACCGACTCAGACTGTCCCAGTCTGTTCCTGGGCTTGCTCCCTCACTTCCAGCCCTACTCCACCTCTGACTCAGCGGTGTCAGAGTTCCCCCCCGCCCGCCACTCCTGCACCTGGGGTGGGGGAACCTGGTTCCCTCGCAGTCACACTTGGAGCCTTGTCACAGGACAGGGCTCTGTGGGGGGATCAGGCGGCAGCCAAGACCACAACAGCACGGACAACACCAAAGCCACTTCCAAGAGAGGTCTTGGCAGCAGAACGTGACGGGCCGCCAGGGCTGGGCCATTCAGGTTGCTCCCCACACTGCCAGGGAGTGAAAGGTCAGCTGATGTGCTGTAGTCACAACACCCAGTAGGACCCCCTGCCCCATGTGACTGCCACAAGGAGAGGCTAACCTGCAGTCAGGGCGGCTGAGCAGCTCTCCTTAACCAGCGGCAGTACCACCCACCCTGGGGTGCCTGAGACTCCCTCAGGTCCCCTAGGTCCCAAAGCGATTGGTGTCAGAGTCCTCAGGAGCCCGTAGCCCTCCTTTCCCAAGTCTCTTCAGGGATGCCCCAAAGTGTTCCGATCACCATGCCAGAAACAAGGCTCCCCTTGTCAGGGCAGCAGGATCCTGGCCTACTTGAGAACAGGAAATGCCATGGACAAAGCCCCCATGGGCCTTGAGGCCTAGCTCTCCACATGAACCAGACCCAGACCCAGCACAGGGGGTGAGGGGGTAAGAGAAGGCAGAACACACCCCAGAGAAGAGCACTGGGTCCAGCAACAATCCCACTGCTCTCTCCGTACCTGGCTCCCCACGGAGTGTGGAGGGTCTCCAGGAGGCCCCCTGCTGGCAGGAGGAAGCGGGCCAGAGCGCGCTGCCTCTTCTGGGATGTTATTGGCCGGTAGGCGGTAAACTCCAGAAGGGCTGCCAGAGTCAGTCCCAGCGCAGCAGGCAGGGGCAGGAAGCCCATCTGCCCCCCAAACAGGAGAGGCGGGCCCTCCCTCGGCTTCTAGGCGCAGGGGCTGCTCGCCACGCACGGGCCCTGCAGGGTCCACTCCACGGCTCCATCTCCTGTAGGGCTGGGCCCCTTCTGCAGCTGCTTCTGCCTCCGCCTTTTCTTCACCCAGGGCCATTGAGCTGACCCCCGGGCTGTTTCTCCTGAGTCTTCAGCTCCCTACAAAACAGAGGAAGGAGAGGAAAAGTAAATTTCCTACATCTGTGTCTAGAAATTTTGCTTTTTACTGATTATGGCAAACATTTTCTTTGGTCCAAGTAAAATGAAAAGTATTTCCTTATGGGTACACAGCAGTCTCGCTTTTCCTTGGTCCCAGACCCTTCCAAAGGGGACAGAGGCATGTCATTTTGTCCTTGGCTTTTATGGTTGCTGGTGCCATCGCAGGAGGGTCAATACTGGTCCAAATCTGAGTCAAGGCTCTATGCTGCCTAGGGCACCTTCTCACCCTGTCCCTCCTGCCCAACCTCTAGGTCAGAGGCCTGGCTAGCCCTCCCCATGAGCACCCTGCAGTGGCTGTGTTGTCTCCATGGAGCCATGTGACTCAGGTCTCGCCGAGAGGACAGCAAGTCAGGGCATGCTGGGCTCGGCTGGGCCAGGAGGAGTTCCCCGTGGCTCTGCCTGGCATGGGAGGCAGGCTCCTCTCACAAAGCAACCCTACCCCCACTCCCAGGCACCAAGTGGGAGAGTGGGTTTCTCCCTCCCAGGGTGGCCAGTGACCAACGAGAGGAATCAGCAACTCTGCCCAGCTGACGTGGAATGTGCTGTGGAGAGAAGTGTGCAAAACAGGTGGGTGCTGTGGCCCTGTACCCAGTGCACTGAGGCCAGGCGCTCAGGGGAGGAGGAAAAAAACTGGGCGTGGGATCTGTAGACAGGATGAGCTGAGGGACAGCAGGCGAGAGCCCGCTTAGCAAATCCTACACTACCTGCTGGGCTGCTGCTGGCAGCACTGGTGGGCTGGGCGAAAGGAAGACTGGGAGGTGCTGGAAGGGGTGAGAGGGAGCTGGGTGTGGGCGGCCACATGCCGTGTTCCAAGCTCAAATCTTGACAGAAATAGCCCATCTCCTTAGGGACAGGGGGTGCTGGTGGCAATAAGGGGGCTGGTGGAGGCAGCTGCAGGCTCATCCCACTGGGCAGCCTGTGTACCAAGCTGGGTGGATGCTGCCTACACCTCGAGGCCCCTGAGAGCAGTGCAGAGACAAGCACTTATTTCACTCTCACAACCCTGCCTCTGCCAGGCAGGCACTAGCCCCAGACAACTGCTCTGACAGGCAATATGGGCACTGCTTCAAGAGCAGGGAGACGTGGAATTAGAAGATAAGTACTGCAGGGCAAAAATTTTGAAATCCATGTGTAGGGTTTTTATTTTTCTTTTTTTTACTTTTTAAAAAGATGTATGCATTTATTTGAAAGGCAGAGTTGCAGAGGGAGAAGGAGAAAGACATCTTCCATGCACTGGTCACTTCCCAAATGGCTGCAACAGCCAGCGCTGGGCCAGGCCAAAGCCAGGAGTCAGGAGCTTCTTCCAGGTCTCCTATGTGGGTGGCAGGGACCAAAGCACTTGGGCCATCTTCTGCTGCTTTCCTAGCCCATTAGCAGGCAGCTGGGTTAGAAGTGGAACAACTGCAGGCAGAGGCTTTACACAACACTGGGCCCCATGCATAGTTTTTTCACAGCATGCATTTTCCACAAACTCAAAGACTCTTCATATACACAATAAGGTTCAAACATAAAATAATATATAATAAGGTTCAAACATAAAAATGCGCTATGAACACAAGTCTCCCTCCACCCTTGTTCCTGTCCCTCCACTGAAACAAGACAAGTCCACACAGAGCTTCCCTGTGTGGAAGGGCTGGCTCAGTGAGTAAGCTCAGGGTCAGCCACTGTTACTAGTGTTATGTGGGATACTGACAGCCTCATCTAACTGGTCACCTTACAAGGAATATACAAAGGAACAAACTGGACAAAAAGGAACCAAGTTTTCCTACAGATCAAGCAAAACATTTACTACTGGAGACTCCCACCAACCAAGTGAACAGCTTTGTGTGTGTGTGTGTGTGTGTGTGTGTGTGTGTGTGATTCTCATCCCCTGGTGTATAAGCAAACATAATTTTCTACTTTTACCATGCCCCCCACCTTTCCCTTTTGTGTTTTTTTCTTTTTTTTAAAGATTTTATTTATTTGAAAGTCAGAGTTACACAGGGAAAGAGAGGAGAGGCGGAGAGGCAGAGAGGCAGAGAGAGAGAGAGAGAGAGAGAAAGAGGTCTTCCATCCGCTGGTTCACTCCCCAGATGGCTGCAATGGCCAGAGCTGCGCCCATCCGAAGCCAGGAGCTTCTTCCAGGTCTCCCACGTGGGTGCAGGGGCCCAAGGACTTGGGCCATCTTCCACTGCTTTCGCAGGCCATAACAGAGAGCTGGATTGGAAGTGGAGCAGCCGGGACTAGAACCAGTGCCCATATGGGATGCCGGCGCATCAGGCCAGGACATTAACCCACTGCGCCACAGCGCTGGCCCCCCCTTTTGTGTTTTTCAATAAAGGAAGCAAACTGCACAGGGCACACTTCTCAGACCCTTGGCAATCACTCCTTAGTGACACAAAGACAGTGCCTTCCTTGTTTTCCTCTTGGCCTGGTGTGGATCCCACTGTAAGGGTGTACTCTAGTTTATTTCACCAGTCCCTTTCTAATGGACATTTGGGTTATTTCCAACGTCATGGCAAACAGTGCTGTGACACATCAGCTGCGTGTGTGCCGACACCCCCACAGCAAAACTAGCCAAACGTGGAACTGCTGAGGTGAAGGGAACCCACTCGAATGTGTCTGACAAACGTTGCCAAGTGCCCTCCTCTGGTCAGTATCAGTCCACACCCAGCACATGTGAGTGTAAGGCCTCTAACCCTCACTGCACAGGTCGGGAAACCATGGCTCTGAGAGACAAGTCCAGGGCTGTCTGACTCCAGAACCCAAGATGTTTATAAACCAACCTGGGAACAAGTTGTAAAACAAACATGCAAAGTAGGCAAGGGAGAGACCTGCAGAGGGCAAAAAGAGTGACCAAGTCCTGCTGACAGATTTTTCATGGAGCTGCATCCTCACCTGGTGGCTCTGGAAGAAACTGCACGTGAAGATGTTATGGGCAATGTGTGCTTTCCCAACCACAGGGTAATCAGACCCACGAGATGGAAAAACCAGGGTGAAGACTGAATCTAGCCTGCGACTCTCACTGGCCAGACCTCTCTCACTGCACTCTCGACAGGGTGTGGTCTGCAGGGGGTTGCTGGAATAAAACGATGTTAGAGCAAGAGGGGATGCACACAAATTATCTCTCTGTTTTCATGACATGTATGTTTTTGTCTTGTCTTGAACTCTGACTATGATGCTGGCATCTGACTATGAACACTGACTATGATGCTGGCATCCCATAGGGCGCCAGTTCTAGAACTGGCTGTTCCACTTCTGATCCAGCTTCCTTCTAACGTGCCTGGGAAAACAGCAGAAAATGGCCCAGTGTTGGGCCCCTGCACACATGTGGGGGACTTGGAGGAACATCCCGACTCCTGACTTTGGCCTGGTCCAGCCCCAGCCATTGTGTCTATTTGCAGAGTGAACCAGTAGGCAGAAGATTTGTCTCTATAGACTTCAAAATGTTTTGCACCAAAATAAACTCATCTTTTAATACCATTTTTCCCAAGACATTTATGAAGTATCTTCTCCATAGCTATTAGAACCTACTCTGAAGAAGGCCCCAAGTAACTTATAAGGATTCACACAAACCTAAAGTAAGTGAACAGTGTGGTCAGAGGCCCTTTAGCAACCACGTAACAAGGTCTGAAATTCAATGATTTTCATGAAAATGGCACTTTTGACAAAAGAATACAGGCAGCTATTTTCTGTCTGGATAATCAGTCCCTTCCTAATCTTTTTATTTAAAAAATTTTTATTTTCATTTTATTTGAAAGGCAAAGGACAGGGAGAGAAATTCCACCCACTGGTTCACTCGCAATAGTCAGGGCTGGGCAAAGCCAGGTCTCCCGTGTGGGTAGCAGGGATTTCAATACTTTAGCCATCATCTGATGCCTCCTAGGTCACGCATCAGCAGGAAGCTGGATCAGAGCAGAACAGCCAGGGTTCAAACCAGGCACTCTGATATGGGATGAAAGAGTCCCAGGCAGGGACTTAAGCTGCTATACCTAATGCCTGCCCCACCTAAATCTTATTTTTAAATCCACCTGACAAATCATTTTTCCCTGTACAAGCTTATTATGAGAACTAAGAAAGACATGAAAGAAAATAAAAATGAATCTATATTATGTCCCAAACTGCATATGAAATGCTATGGAATGGAATGGAAGAAATCATCTGGGACAGATAATCAAGGAAAACTCACTGAAGTCTGTCTGCTGCAGACACAGCACTTTTAAAGCGTTCACCAGCCACAGAAACACTGGCCAGGCTATGTGGTAAACACACCAGCTGCGGATTCCCAGGGCCTGACGCTGTCTGCATCTGCCAGGTGGGCGTCCTTACCACTGAAGGAAAGGTCTAGATGCTATGATCATTCCTCTACCCTTCTGGGGGCAGGAATGCTGCTTGGAGCCTTCCAATGAGACAGCGCCTCCTTCTCAGAGCCCTGCTCAGACTGCTGGGCACCACTGGCTGTGTTGGACCAACACTGTCTCCCAGGTCATCAACTTTCAACAACCTACTCACGTGGAACCTGCCTGCCCTCAGACCACAGTTTACAGTGTTCCTGGATGCCAGCAGCCCTGTGACAGGGCAGAGGCCTCAGCCAGCCTCTTGCCTGACAAGTGCCAGGAGGCTGGCCCAAGTGACAGGAGGCATCCAAGCACACAGAATGAACAATATGCTCTGTCTTGTCAAGGTCAAGAGACAGGCCACACATGTGCCAGGATATTCTCGGGACTACCTGGACTTCACTATCACACTTCACCACCAGCTTGGCCCCCTGCACCCATGTGGGAGATGCGGAAGAAGCTCCTGGCCCCTAGCTTTGGCCATGATCTATCAGATATAATTAGGAGTGACGCAAGCTTGGCTTTCTCTTGCCCTACAGTCAGAACATGCTCATGCTCCTGTATGCGGTGAGCCTGGACATCTGACCCTTCTGGCGTGGCGACCTCTACCACCCTCGGGTGGGACTGTCACAGCTGCCTGGGGTTCCTCCCACTTGCTCCTATTCAGGATGGGAACGGGGGTGAGGAAGGATGTTCTGCTCACAACTAAACCAGGCAAACAGAGGACAGATCAACTAGGGAGAAACTCTCTGAACAAAAGGGGACCTGCCCCCACATTCTTTAAATCACAAGCTCCCTTTGAAACAATCTCTTTCAGACCGATGCTGCTCTGTAAGTTCCATTCTGTCAGGGCCTGTCCCTGTGCCCAAGCACATAGCGAGCCACCTGCACCAGCCACCAGAGCAAGCCCTACCAGTTCAGAGGCCAAAACTCTGAAACTTGTTTTCACAGGAGGCCGAGGTGTAAGTGGTTGGAAATGCCACGGACACACAGTGGCAGGGCTGGGCCAGACAAGCAGACAACAAGGCTTTCCATGCTGCTCTTCTGCCTAGAGCAAGCAAGTGCCCCAAGAAAAGGGGCCTGCGGTAGGACAGGATCCACTCAGGCTGCTGGAGGGCTCGGGGGTGCCTGAGACTCTTGGGAAAAAAGAACTTCAAGGCAGAGGCCAATCCAGGCACTGGAGGCAGCACAAAGTGGGTTAAAGAGAAATGTGGGAGAGAACAACAAAGCGGGTGGCCACAGGAGATGACTGTGGTGGCCTCAGAGCCGGGTGGTGCCAGGAAAACTGGCTGTGCACCTGCTCCTTCCCTGCCTAGGCAAGGCCCCGGGTGCCCTTCAGTCCTCCGGACAGGCCTGATTTTCCCTACAAGGGTAGGTTACCCTGGCACTTTGCTCCCCTTCTTCGCACACAAAATCAAAGTACAGTTAAAACGAAGAGCAGACTTGAAGCCACAGAAGGGTATGTGGCTCCCGTGGCTTGGCCACAGGACCAGGCTCTCCTCAGGACCCTCTGGCACCAGCAGCTCTTTGACTTCCCTCCTAGGGCTGCTTCCCTAAGTCTCGATAGAACAGGAAGAGCCCCCAGGCCCTTGGCGGAGCCAGTGGTTGTCCCTTTGCTTCTCCCTTGCACATCTGTTGGCTAACTGGCAGGACCCCCAGACAGCCTCACAGCGAGGCCAATCTTCTAAGTCGCTGGGAAAGGTCTTCAGATGGCCTTTAAAGACAAGCAACTGCCGCATCTACAAGGAGCCTGCATGAGCTCCCAGCCACCGCCCTCCTCAACCCCAGGCTCTCTGGCCTCCCCGGCAGTTAGCAGAGTGTCCCCGTCCCACGAAGTTTACAGTATGAGGATGCCGAGGACAGACATGTCCATTAACTGAACTGAAGGGCAACGCAGAACAGCAGCGTCCCTGTATGCCGAGGGTGGCGGCGAGGCATCATGTGGGACACCAGCACCCCACGTCAGAGTGCCTGGGTTTGAGTCCCCACTGTGCTCATGACCCCAGTTTCCTACCAGTGCTCACTCTGGGGGGCAGCAGGTGAGGGCTCCCTGCCACTCATGTAGGAGAACTGGCTCCCGATTTTGGTCTGGCACAGCCCTGGCTTCTGTAGGCACTCTGGGAGGGGAACCAGCGGAGGGGAGACCTCTCCAACCCTTCCTCCCTTCAAATAATTTTTTAAAAAGTCACTCTACTATTAGAGGAGGTGTATCTGGACCATACAGTTAGAGCCCGACGGCTGCTGTCTTTACTGTACTAACGGTTTTCTGTGAGGCCACCAAGCTACATATATGAAGACTGAAAGGAACTTAATTTTCTCCACAGATACTAAGAACTGCACTCACCATACTGCAGCATCCTCTCTGGGGAACTCGAGGGAGAATTCTCAGGTCCCATTCACAAAAACAGGTGTTCCAGCTGAGCAGCTAGTTTGTTCTTCATGGCAAAAATGATGAGAACGTCTTCTTTGCTTTGGCTGCTAGAAAGCTCAGGGCCAAATATGGAGTCTCACTGAATAAAATGACTAGGACAGATAGGCACTCGCCTGGGGCTGGTTCTGTGGTGCAGCAGGTTAAGCTGCTGCCTGCCAGTATCCCATATAGGAGCGCTGGTTCAAAGCCCAGCTGCTCTGCTTCCAATCCAGCTCCCTGCTAATGTGCCTGGGCAAGCAGCAGCACATGATGGCCCAAGTGCTTGGGCTCCTGCCACCCTCATGGGAGACAAGATGGAGTTCATGGCTCCTTGTTCCAGCCTGGCCAAGCCTAAGCCAATTTGGCTCATTTGGGGAGTGAACTATCCAATGGATAGTAACCTTGCCTTTAAAATAAATAAATAAATCTTTTTTCCAAAAAAAAAAAAAAAAAGAAAAGAAATTGAGGCAGATACAGTGAAAGAAAAGTTACAGGAAGTCAAGTGAAAGATTAGCACAAAAGGTGAGGGTCTTTCTAAAGACTTATTTATTTGAAAGGCTACAGAGAAAGAGACAGAGATAGAGAAAGAAAGATCTTCCAGCCACTGGTTCACTCCCCAGATGGCTGGGCCACCCCAATGCCAGGAGCCAGGAACTATATGCAGGTACCCTATATGCGTGGCAGGGGCACAAACACTTGGGCCATCTTCCACTGCTTTCCCAGGTGCATTAGCAGGGAGCTGGATCACAAATGGAGCCGCTGAATCTCGAACTCATGCCCATAAAGGATGCCAGCGTCACAGACAGTGGTTTAACCCACTGCGTTACAACGCCAGCCCACTCGATTTCTTTTATTAACAACCTTATTATTACATCAGAAGCACCTTACAGTCCTCACATCATTTTTGGAACAATGCCAAAAAATTTTTATGATGAGGATAAAATAATAAATAGGAACAAAGCTCCTAATTCCCAAGTTTACTACCATAAGAAATGAGACCTGTTTCTCAGACCTCCTAAAAGCAGGTGCAGATGCTTCATTTGGTACTCGGCTACTCACAGTGTGGTCCAAGAGCAGCACATGTGCAGCACACCACTCGTGCTGGGAATGCAGATTCCTCGGCCCCACCCTGGAGCCTAGGCACAGAATCCCCGTTTCAGCTCTACCTTCAGACGACCTGGTAAGCACACTCATGTTTTAAAAGCACTCGGCCAGGACCTGCATTGTGACACAGAGGGTAATGCCACCACTTGGAATATCTGTATCCCAAATCAGAGTGCCAGGTTACTCTGAGCTTCTGATCCAGCTTCCTGCTAATGTGCCTGGGAGGCAGATGACGGCCCAAGGACATGGGTTCCTGCCATCCTCGTGGGAAACCCAAGTGGAGTTCCTGGCTCTTGGCTTCGGCCTGACCCAGCCCTGGCTATTGCTGGTATATGGAAAATCTCTTTGCCTTTTACACAAATGACAAAAATCTTAAAAAACAAAGCTTCCAGCAGCCCCAAAGGAACAATGGTAATGGCTGTACCACTATTTACCTAGCACCTGTCACTGAGAAGGAAATTTATGGCCCTTATGCTCAAGGCCTCCGCAACGGGACAGGGAAAAAGCTCATACCTTGTGGTAGGTTTTTAATGGCTAACTACGGACTGTCACAGCTGGAACAGAGTTCTCAGAATCAATGTATTCCCTAGAAAGAATTCACGACTCACTGTGGCTAACCTGAAAACAGAATCACAAACGGGCTACCTGGATTTCCCCTGTGACAATTCCAAGTGAGGAGTGCAAATTGCAGACTCCAACTATTTAAGAGAAACTGGCATGCCAAAGGGGGCTTACAGCTGAAAGGAAACGTCCAATGCAGCCCGTTTCCTGCATCCACAAAGGAAAACCTGGTACAGGAAAACCTGGAAGTGAGGCAATGCCTCTCGTTGCACCCGACACCTCCGGGACCCGCAAACGGGTCTAAATCCATCTGGAAGACGTCTTCCACTTTTCACAATGTTTCCAAGCAACCTCAGCAAGAACAGAAGCCACCCAAAGCCCACCACCACAGGTTCTGCATGCTGCTGCCTGAGGGTCTGCGGTCAGCCACATCAGGCCCCTTCCATTTCACTCCTTTGCTCTTACACGACCATCTTGAGTGGCCGACCACACTAATCAAGCACACTCGGAGAAATCCTTACCTGGCACCTAATCAAGCACCACTGGGCGATGAGATTCTGGCTGCATAAGCAGACAGCTGCCTATGGAATATCTGTACTGCGTGTTGGGTGGGGAGATCAGGAAAGGCCCAATTTTTTTTTTTTTTTTTTTTTGACAGGCAGAGTGGACAGTGAGAGAGAGAGAGAGACAGAGAGAAAGGTCTTCCTTTTTGCCGTTGGTTCACCCTCCAATGGCCGCCGCGGCCGGCGCACCGCGCTGATCCGATGGCAGGAGCCAGGAGCCAGGTGCTTTTCCTGGTCTCCCATGGGGTGCAGGGCCCAAGCACCTGGGCCATCCTCCACTGCACTCCCTGGCCACAGCAGAGGGCTGGCCTGGAAGAGGGGCAACCGGGACAGAATCCGGCGCCCCGACCGGGACTAGAACTCAGTGTGCCGGCGCCGCTAGGCGGAGGATTAGCCTAGTGAGCCGCGGCGCCGGCCTGGAAAGGCCCAATGGGTTTTAACAAAGGATCAGATAAAGCCAAAAGGCTGGGACACCCTCAAGAGTGAGGGACCATACAGATACCATGGCTGAGTCTTCAAGTATCTGTTTATTTTTACCTTAACCGGTAACAGGTACTGAACTTTTTCTTTGGGCCAGAAACTCCGATAGGCACTTTCTATCAATATTTTAATATTGACAGATACCTGCACTCGGAGTGCAGGTACTCTTATTATTCCCGTTTTACAGATGAAGAAACTGAGGCAGGGAACTTAAAGGAACTTACCCAGGGTTAGTAACAAGGCAGATCTCATTTGCCTTAACACACAGCCTGAGGCCAGCTGCCTCTGTAAGAATAACTGGCCCAACAGGTTAAAGAAAAGTTTGTTTCCTCAACTTCTGGCTACACTGCTGATTTTTTGTTTTTCTTTTGGCTTCCTTCCACCCCGAGTGCCTGCTCTGCTCCAAGCATTGTGCTAGGGCTGGGGAAACCACAAGGCCACAGAGGAGCCGGTGAATCTCAGCTGCTGGGTGGAGGTGCTTCAGAAGAGATGAACCCGAGCTCCCGGCTCTCTTCTGTCCTGAGGGGCCAGGTGGTGGGAAGGGCTGGGAAGGGGTGTCTCTTCTGGATTCAAGCCCAGGCAAACGGAGCCAACACCCTTTGTCAGGCGCTCTCACCGCATCCTACAGGCCCCAGCGCTGACAGCTCGTGGGCTGTTTACCAACGCAGCCTCCCTGCTTGCCCCTCATGGACCCCACGGGATCCTACGGGCAGCTTTCCGCTCCTTACAAACGGTACCCGGAACGCAACCTAATCATCGTAAAGGGCCCGCGACGGGCTTTGCTTCAGGGCAGGAGCGCCGGTCCGGTGCCGACGGCTGGAAAAGGCAGCCCTCCTACATAAAGCGCCAGGCACCCTGCTCCTTCCCCTCCGCCGCGTTCGGAAGAAACCGTTCGTTTCCATCTTTCCAGGGGCAAGGATGGGAGCAGCGTTCGCCACTACCCGCCAGCAAGATAAACAGCACCGCGGCCCAGGCGAGCCTGCTGGGGGGCAGAGATTGCCCGCCGCGGCCCAGGCGAGATGCCGGCCACGCGCGCCCCCGAGACCAGGCCCCGGCGTCCCCAAGCCCGGCCTCCCGCCTCAGCCCCCGCGGTTCGGCGGCGACCCGCGCACGCCGTTCCACCTGCAAAATGGAGGCGAAGGCACGAAGCGACCCCGCGACCCCAGCAAGCTTTTGTATCCTGCAGGCGGGGACGCGAGGGTGTCGGCCCGCACGGCCACGGGCCTCGCAGAGAGACCCCAGGAGATCGCCGCACGGAGGGGGCCGCGCCTCGCGCGCTGAGACTGCCCAGGCCGCCGCCCCCAGAGCCGCGAGCGCCCGCTGGAACCGCGCCCGCGCCCCGGCCTCGGCCTACCTACCGCACCTCGACGCTTCGCACGCTCCGAGCGGCCCCCGAAGCCCCATGCGCCAACCCGGAGCCCGAGGTCCCACACAGCACCCGCAGCCCGAGCGCACGAGCGCGGAACGCTTGGGGCGGGGCCGACCCCCCGCCCCGCCTGGCAGACCCTCCCCCTTGTCCCTCCGCACGAGGACGCCTTAAGGCCTGGAGCAGCCAATCCCAGACCTCAGTCCGGAGGCTCCACGAATAGGCACCCAGATCCTACAAGAAGAGCCCACCCCTCGTGTCCTCCTGGCCTATGGGCGGCCGGATCTTCTTTGGAGGCGGCCGGCCTCCCTCTCCGTCCGCGCTTCGGCCCTGGGCTCTCTTCCTCGCGGCCGGCGGCGTCGTGAGGGGTCGAGTCGCCCTGGTGCCGGCATATGGGGAGGTGTCGAGGGTGAGGTGCCGGGGCGCGCAGTGTTCCTGCTGCGACCCGACGTAGGGCAGCATTCATTCATCCCTGTTGCTCAGTGCAGCGGAACGTGTGGGCGGCGCCGCAGCCGCTGGCTGGGCGGCTCCTGACGCTCGCGTCCAAACAGGCGGGCGGCGTGACCGTGGCCGAACAGGTGCTGCGGGGCGGCGCGCCAGGCCGGAGGGCGAGCTCCCGCGCCGGGCGCCCGGGGACAGCTTGGGGGAGGACGTGGGCCTTGGCGGGCTTGGAAAGGATGGCAGGGGTGTGGCTAACGGGGAGAGGCCTGGGCTGGTGCGGAATCGATGGTGGAGTCCGAGGGGACGTGGGCGCCGGCACGGGGAAGGTCGTGCTGCACCTCCCCTCCCGCGCCGGCGGGGAGGCTTAGAAGCCGCAGTGCTGCTGCTCAGCGGAATCCCGAGGCCCCGAGGGGGCGCCCTCGTATCCTGAGTCACTGCCTGCCTTCTGACGGCATCAGCGGTCCGGCTGCCCCAGAATCCCTTACCCTTCACGGATCAGGTCTATGCGTGTCTGAGCCCCGGCTGTGTAGGGCACAGATTCCCGTGGGAGCTCCTGCACCCCGGGCAGTTTAGGAAATGAAGAATTGGGTGCCCTCGGACCTGCACACGACAGCTCAGAGGTTTTGTCTAACTAGCCCGCAGGTGGTTCTGTTTGGGCAGCACTTAGGTTTCATGGATTTGCTTGTTTGTTGTTGTTGTTTTGTTAATAAGAACTTAAATGCCACAGGCACCACTTGTGTATTCAGTATCACGCACATTTGTTACCCGCCTGACATTTGAAGGCGTTTGTGTTGGCCATCTTTGATCTCTGTATACACAGACCTGCAAGGGGAGTCAAACCAAGGCGCCCTGCTCCACAGGGAACGGGACCAAGTTCAAACAGGCAGGCAGGTCAGGCAAGAGAACCAGGCACCGAATCCCAGCAAGGGAACATGAAAGCCAAAGGCCAAAGGAACAGGCTCTGGGTGGTAGAACTTGAGATGAACATACTGGAGCAGGAAGGAAGTGACTAAGGTGGCTGACGACCAGTATGTTGCACACACTGCTTTTCAAGGCCTCCCCCACCCCTCCTTCATCAGCTCCCCTTGATATGCTCAGCCAGGTGTGGCCTCTTCCCTCCGTTCCTCCTGCAGCGTGCGCTTTTCCCACGGCCTTTATCGTTTTGTACCCTGTGTGGATTCCTGAGGGAGGATAGACTAGGGGAGTCCCAAGGTTCCTTTCAGGTCCGACATGCTGTAATCCTGTGTTGTGAGCCTCTTTTGGTTTTGCCTGACAAGTCGGCTTTCCTTTGAGGAATTGTCCTCAGTGCCCTGGGTCAGGTGACTGTTTAGCACCACAGTTCCCCGGCCTTCCAGGACAAGAGGGGAGGCATGGAGCCCCGGCCTGGTCTCCCTCATCCTTTCTGCGAAGATTTCCCCAGGAATGGACTATCACCCTACCTCGGATGTCCCGACTCTCGATGAGGATTCTAGAACGAGGCTGGGAGACAGTCTCCTTCTTTGCACTGATGTCTGTAGGCTTGGGCTGGGTAAGCCTGGTGCCGGGTATGGCTGTTCTTGCACCACTTGCACCAGAAAGGCTGGGGGCCCGGCATGGCAATGTTAGAAACCCAGGGCACGCCCCAGGCTGTGCTGCTCCAGTACTCGGATTAGGGTGTCTGGCTGCCGCTTTGAGGCTGCCGTGAATTGCTCTTCGACTCTTCTGTGGTATTAGTTAGCACTTTCTGCAGGGACTGTTTCCTTGGCCTGGTTTAAGTTATGTTCCTGTGTTCCATCTGCCAGTATTCCAGGAGTTTTTGTTTCTGCTATGATTCTTCTCAACCCGTTGGCTTTCGCGTGTGGGGAGGAGGAGCTCGGCCTCCTGCTAAGACTCCGTGTAGGGGCTCCTTCAAACTGGAAGCGTAGTCAGATGCTCGCCGACGGTAACTCCACTCTAGTCCCCATCTTCGGGTGCCCCTCCTGGGTCTTGCTGCTCCCATGCGTTCACTTCTGTTTATTTAGTTTTTATTTGAGAGGCACAGACACAGAGAGATAGAAAAGAGAGCTCCTGTCTGTTAGTTTACCCCCAAATACCTGCCATGGCTGAAGCTGGGAACTGGAAACGCAATCTGGCTGTCCCACGTGGGTGGCAGGATCTAACCACGTGAGCAGTCACCACTGCTTCTAGGTTCTGTGCTGGCAGGAAGCTGGAGTCAGGTGCTCCAGTGTGGGGCAGTGGCATCTTAACCAGTGGCTTACCTAGGCTAAATGCATACCCCTCATTTTTATTTGAGAGAGTGAGAGCCATGTATTAGATTTTAAATAAGAGTGCTCTAATCCAGCATAACACAGCCATCTCTCCTACAGCAACAAAAATGCACTTTTCTCTTCCCCCAAAAGAGAATATCTCAGAGCCTCAGCATTTATGGTATTCGGCCTCCAGTCTAACATCTGTAGGTGATGTTCCATTCTTTAAGTGTCCTCATCATACCATTTCATTGTTGTAATAGGTAGACTAAATTTTTCTTTTAGATTTATTTATTTGAAAGGCAGAGTTACACACAGAGAGAAGGAGAGGCAGAAGGTCTTCCATCCACTGGTTCACTCCCCGGATGGCTGTAAGGGCCAGAGCTGCGCCGATCTGAAGCCAGGAGCTAGGAGCTTCTTCCAGGTCTCCCATGTGGGTGCAGGGGCCCAAGGACTTGGCCATCTTCTACTGCTTTCCCAGGCCATAGCAGAGAGCTGGATTGGAAGTGGAGCAGCTGGGACTCGAACCAGAGCCTATATGGTATGCTGGCACTGCAGGTGCTGCTAAGCCACAGCGCCGGCCCCTAGACTAAATTTTAAAATTCAAAGCCATCACTCATATACTTTACAATAATGAAAAGAAGAGAAATGAAAGAAAAAAAGACTGTAAATAAAAATCCTGCATTTGTGCATGATGCTGCAGGAGCTGGCCTACCATTAGAGGCTCTAAGCCTCCTTTTTGTAACCAGTAGTGAAGCTTACTGGCATTTCTTATTTCCCTTTCCCACTACCCACTCCAGGTTCCCCTTACGTTTGAGTAGGTCCTGAGTCAGCCAGGATTCTTCTGCTGCGTTAACCAGACTTTCACTCTTGAGGCATTTGCCCTGGTGGGCCTGCCTGTGTCTAGGGCAGTGTCCCTGAGCCCGGGAGTGGCGAGGTACCTGCCCTCCTTGGTTCTGCGCTCCTCCCCCAGCCTCTGTTGTGCACCAGCAGCCCCCTCTCCTTCATAGTCAGGGTCGGTTGCCACCCAACACTGTGACCTCCAGCAGCAGGAGGAGCTCGTGTCAACGTCAGCTTCCGGTTCAGGGGAACCACTGTTGCAGATTCTGATGGAAACAGCACAAGTCTAAACCAGCTGACTTGAGGAAAAGGGAAGTATATGTTTCGGAGGAGCATTTGAAATGTACCACACACATTTTGGCTTACTGACATCTATGTTCTGCCATGGAAGAAACATCATCGGGGGCTGGTGCTGTGGCATAGTGAGCTAAGCCTCCACCTGCAGAGCCAGCTTCCCATGTGGGTCCTGGTTCATGTCCGGGCCACTCCTCTTCCAATCCAGCTCTCTGCTGATGGCCTGGGAAAGCAGTGGAAGATGGCCCAAGTGCCTGGGCTCCGCACCAGCATGGGAGACCCAGAAGGGGCTCCTGACTCCTGACTTTGGATTGGCTCAGCTCCAAATATTGTGGCCATTTGGGAAGTGAACCGGTGGGTGGTTCTCTCTGTAACTCTACCTCTTGAATAAATAAATACATCTGTTGTTTTTTTTGAAAAAAGAAACATAATTGGTTATTGGTTCGCTGCACATGGAAAACTCTAGAAGTGGGTCTGGCATTATAGTGCAGTGGGTAAGCTGCTGCTGCTTGCAACACTGTGTGAGTGCCAGTTCAAGTCCTGGCTGTTCCACTTCTGGTCCAGCTCCCTGCTAATGTGCCTGAAAAAGCAGTGCAAGATGGCCTGAGTGCCTGGGTCCCTGCACCCATGTGGAAGACCTGTATGGAAATCCAGCCCTCACACTCACTGTTGGTTTCTACAGTAGTTTATTGTAAAATGCTCACACGCATCATAAATTTCACCATTTCTAGTTGCTCCAACTTTGACTTGTGTTTCTTAGCCTCCTACACTGCCTTCTCCCCTGAATAAACAGAAAACTGCAACTATATCTGTGTTCATAACAGATATGGGTAAAAGGTGGGGAATGTGCAAATGTGGTGAAATGTTAACAGCTGAGGATTCTGTAGTTGGCAGCCTCTCCAATCACATCCATTCAGCTCCACCCTTCCCTCCTGGATTTTACCACTTATGTCCTTTCTTTCCCTTAAGTATGGGCTGGGGACATTTTTGTGAGATACCACGTGTGTGTGTGTGTGTGTGTGTGTGTGTGATTTAGTTATTCGTTTGAAAGGTAGAGTTACAGAGAGACAGGGAGAGACAGAGAGCTTCCATCTGCTGGCTCACTCCCCGAATGGCTGCAGATGGAACCCAGGAGTCTGGAGCTCCATCCAGGTCTCCCACGTGGATGTGGAGGCCCAGGCACGTAGGCCATCTTCTGCTGCTTTTCCAGGCACATTAGTGGGGAGCTGGGTCAGAAGTGCAGCAGCTTAACCTACTGTGTCAACACCAGCCCCAAGATGTCACTTCTGTGATAGACAAAGTCTGTGGCCTCCACCCCCCACAT